CTAGAATAGATGTGAAAGTTTGTAGTCATTATTAAGGAGTGAAATTGGCCTGATAGTTTACATTTATGCGTTACAGTAGACATGAATGCACCATTTGGGAGACTTGAAAGAAGCGGTTAGGAATCGATCATCATAGAGAAAAAAATCTATCTAGGTCAGGGGTCCTCAACCTTGGCAACTTTAAGATTTGTGGACTTCAACTCCCAGAATTCCTCAGCCAGCATTCTGGGAGTTGAAGTCCACAAGTCTTAAAGTTGCCAAGGTTGAGGACCCCTGATTTAGGTGCACCAGGAGTTGAAAATAACTTGATGGCACACAATCAATTGGTTATCCAGTTTGGTGGTCTCTTCCTTTGGAGCGAGCTTTGGTTTCAACACTGGTCTGCACTTGGGAAATGGAAATATGGTAGCAGAGACTTGTTAGAAATGAATTTTTCTACAGAATGCTCTGAGGATGGAAGAAGAGGACTAAAGTGTAAGAGAAATGGGCTTGGTGGATGTAGCAAGCAATTTGTATTCTTGACCCCCCCCCCTCTCTTGGTTTGTCCCTGACAAGCTGTTTCTTCTTGCTATTTGCAGAGAGGAGCATATCCAGCATCCTTCAGGCCCTAAAAGAAGCCGCTTGGTCGATGAAGAGGAAAACCATGACCAAGGTATGCTTGGCTCTAATTCTGGGGTTTTAAACATCTTTCTAGTCTTCATGATACGTCAGATCAAACTATTACAAGTCACCGACTCAGATTTTGTTTAGAAAATAAAGCCAGTATGCAATACAGACTACAATGGGACAGATCAAAAATCATGACAAAGACCTGAAGTCATGCATAGCCTATTTTGCTGTCACAGTGCCCAGGTTCTACAAGCTACAAATGTAATGTTTGCTACTTGTTAAGTTGGATCAAACATAATGCTGGTTTAAAAGGACATTTGCTGTGCCCTAATTGAGCTCTAAATGACATCCTGATATTTATTTATTAATAAATGTATATGCAGCCCATGTCACTATCAAGCAACTCTGGGCGGCTTATAACAGCAATATAAAACATTAAAAAATAAATAAAAGACATATTCTGTTTATAATGCTATGTCAATAATTCTTTTAAGAACTACTGTTGCCAGCTCTTCTTCCAGGTGCATTAGCATCTTACTTGAGAATCCCACTTTGTGTTATTTGTCATTTACTTGATGTTTTCAAGAGTGAAAATAATCTGTCAGTCTAAGATATATCAGACCTTGAGGCTCAAAGTGGGTATTTAGTTATTATCTGAGTCCACATAGCCATACACTTAGTTTAAGTTTGTATAAGCTCTGCCTCCAAAGATAGAACAAAATTAGTCACACATTTTGCTACCTGAAATACCTTTCTTAAGAAGCCTAGTCTCTCCAATTTCTCATAGTTGAATCCTAGATTTAATTGTGCTCCATAGAGGAGCTCTGTGCATTGCCTTCAATAAGCTTTATGATATTGGAATATATGAATAAGTGACAGCAAGTATTTCCAGCACCACTTTTTATCTATCCCTATTTTAACATTTGACTTTGGCACTACAGATTCCAGTGATGAGGATGGACCCTGTCCTTCCAGTAAGAGGAAGTGCCTGCGAATTGAAGAAGACGAGGACTGAGGAAATTGGAAACATCTCCCTTAGCATGTCAAAAAGACCAGTGAAACCAAGCCTTGGGGCTACTGCCAGCAACCTCAAGAACTGGATTGGGCAAGATTGAGAGCAGTCACCATCCCAAAGGAAAATATTAGGAAAGGAATACAGAAACTAAACTTTTATATAATAATAAAAATCTGTATGATCACCAATGTGGAGGGAGTAGAATTAGAAAAGAGTAAACCGCTCATAACTTCTGCCCTATGATTAGATGCAGTTGTTGTTAATGCTAATGTGACAGTTATCTTTCAAACCACTCCAGGTTGTTGCCTGCCTGCCCGCCCTTGGTTTCCTGTCATTCCTCAGTATCGTTTGCTAAGAGTCACTAAGAATCACCCTTACCGGCTAGTTTGCCAAGCAAAAATGTGACATACTGGCTTTCCACAGTGTTTGGTTTGTTTGTGGATCTGCCTCTTTTTTCTCTGGTTTGGCTTAGATATCATGGGCCTATATGTCACATTTTGCCTTAATTACCTGAACACATCAATATTGGTTTCTGTTGTTCCTCTGCTTTTTTTCCTTTTGTAAAATTTCTTCTCCAAAAAAAAAAAAGGAACTGGAAGTAGGTCATCGCCAAACCTTGCTAAAAATAGTGATGGGATAATGATACAAGAGATTTTAAAGTTGCAATTGCATGCATCTCTGATATTTCTGCCTTGCCTCCTTTGGTTAAGAGTTGTTTTTACATTTGATCCTTCTGAAATCCGCCCAGTGTCCGCTGGATGATCTATAACAATTGTGGATATTTGTGCACGTCTTTGTTGTACTTTTGATATTTTTTTTAAAATATCTAAAAAATTCTAAAAAATAAAGTATAAAATATCCTGATGAGATTTCTCTGCCTTTGTCCTGCACGTGACTGCTTAAAACAGCCAGAAGATTTGGGAGCTCGCCAGACATGAGACTATTGTAAAGGGTTATCCTACTGATATTTCTGTTTTGCTTTCAATAGGAACAGGATGATTGTAGTAATTCCTAGTTATTTTCAGGCTCAAACTGTGTATGTTTGGGCGGGGGAGGGTTTGTCCTTATTGCGATTGGGAGCATTATTTCCTACTTAATGGAACAAGTATGAGGAGGCAGCTGCTGTCATTATGCCTTTTTCTAAGCCCACCTATGTTCCTTAAACTGGATTTGTTTTACCCCCGGTTCAATTAGCTCCTCTCAGTAAAACTGGCAAGTCAATTATGAGTTAGCATGCATGCTGTCATTAGCATTGCTGTTAAGAAACTATTCCCCATCCCATGCCCTATCTATCCCATGCTTCTTTTTCTATGGAGGGAAGCCCACTCCTTTACCTGTTCAGGGTAAAGGGGACATTCATTTTTGTAGCTGACCTCCACAGGTACATGAATAAATCAATAAACCAAACTGCCACAGTTTAAGTATTGGCTCACTTTGGCGTTAATTTGTTAAAATAGAGTTGCTCTGATTAAAGCAACAAAAGTCGTCTAGATTTCAGGTTGTGTCGGATGTTGTAAAGGTTCTATGCTATGTCACATGGAACTTCGCTGCCAGGACAAAACGACAGCCTCTTTGCTGCTGTTTCTGGTTGTTATTCTGATGCACAGTTTAAGCCACTATGGGTTGCGATTCATGTTCCGAATTGTAAATGCAATGACAGTAGGATACATCAGTCTTTAAGATGGGAGAGGTTGGAAGAGAAGGGTGGCCGGACAAGAGGCTCCTACTGAATGAACTAACCGCAAATGTCTGATGGAGGATTAGAGATCGGAACGGCTGACCATCGCTCATTCCATTGTAACTCCAGATGTGTAGACATAAATGTTTGTTCTATGCAAACAAAGCAACTGATATGCTGTTCTTTTCTTCCCTTGATGCACTGCTCAGCATTACCTGTTTCTCCCTCTTGTTATGATTCTACCTGTAGGCTACTCAGGAATTTCTACCCCCTTCACCATAAAATAAAGGAAAACTGCATGAAACATAGGTATTAAATCAGACGAGTAACCTTATGGGCTTTGGCAGAAGATTAAGAGGCCAGAACTTTCCAGGGGCACAGAGTGTTGTAATGAGGTTTGCAGATAACACTGATTGCCAGAGATAAGAGTGTATAAAGACCAACTTTAATCAGTTCTCAGTTCACTCTGAAGCATTTTGTGTTTGTGTTGCCTCCTAAAGCAGGTAAGTTTCTCTTTCCAGGGGGAAGGAATGGGAGAGGGAAGGCATAGAATAGCTGTCAATATGAGCAAAGAAATGGGTTAATTTGGAAGTAAGAACAATGTGTCACGCTGTCAAGCCTGTGTTTCATTAGTGGGAGATCAGCATCCAAGGTAGAACCATGCTGGCGCATTAACATAGCTGGTAGAGGCAAGAAAGCAGCTTAAATTCTGTGAGCCAGTTGGCTCTTGCTGCACTAACTTGGTCTTTTGTTTGAATTATGGCACAAGTCAGATAACTGAATCCTAATTTCTGATTTGGGGGAAGCCCACTGTTTCCACAATCTGAAGTTCTCTAGATGTGCTGGCCAACCCTTACCAAGGCATGATGGCTGAACAGCATGGATAAGAGGACCCTAGAATGGGTGACCCTAGGTTGGTAGATTAACAATCTTGTGAAAGATTGCGCCATATTCATTGCTTGAGCATGACGATTATGGTTCCTTATTTTGGAAAGTGTAGTCCTAGAGTTCTAAGGTGTATGTATTTATCTATAAATAACTGAAGGCAGTGAACATATGCAACATACCTTCCTATTTTCTCCACAACAACAACCCTACGAGCTGGGTTGAATGCAGAGAGTGTGACTGGCCCAAGGTCACTCAGTTGGCTTTCATGGCTTGAACTCATGGTTCTCCTGCTTTCTAGCCTGATGGCCTTGAAGAGTAAGTTCTCAGCCAACTAAATGAAGATAGATACCTAATATCTCTTGAGTGTACCTAATATCTCTTGAGTGTGCAAGTCTGCTCTTAAACTGAATTCAGCTTAACAAATCGATTGAATTTGCATTTTCACTGTGGCTAGGAAGCAACTTGACTGTATCAAGCCAAGTTTCACCTAGATTAGTCCTGGGGTTGCCACTGGACTGCCCACATGCAATAGAGCAGGGATAGTCAACCTTGGCTCTTTTATGACTCGTGGACTTCAACTCCCAGAATTCCTGAGCCAGCTGTGCTGGCTCAGGAATTCTGGGAGTTGAAGTCCACGAGTCATAAAAGAGCCAAGGTTGACTACCCCTGCAATAGAGGCCATTTTGTCATCTTCACTTTTTTTGCTAGTTTCGTCCATCTTACCAGACTGCCATGACAGCTCAACAAACTCTAATTTACAAGGACTTTCAGGACTTTCCTTCCCTTGCTATTGGGAGAATTAGTATCCATACAGAGTTGGACCTTTGTTCTTTGGTTTAAGAGGTTTTTGGTGAGGGTTTTCTAAGAGGTTGTCTTCTGGAGCATTGTTATTGTTTTTCTCCTGGGTGAGAGAGAGAGGGGTGGGCAGGTATAGACCATCTGCCCTGTAAGCTCTTCCCTCCCATTCAGGTGAGAGCAGAGAAGGTAGGGATGGTATGGGAAAAAGTAAATATAAAAAGCTAAAAAAAATATCTACCAAAACAATCTAAAAGAAGGGGTAGGAGCATTAAATGCATGTAAAGGAGCATAGCAAACTAGATCTATCACAGTATAGAGCACTCTAGAATACTGAACTAGCTCTTCATTAAAACTGGTTTATGGCACAGATAATTTTCTGATAGATTTTAAATATTGCTGTGCAGAACTGGGCAACATATTGTAGAAGGGTTGGTATCTGAAAGCAGGAGAGAGGTGTAAAATTGTCCTGTGGACCTTGGGATTTATGCAATAATGGTGAGATGAGGCAGGTACAAATGCCTCTGTAATATAGATTTTGGAGAAATACACATTCTGTTGTTTCTGCGAGTTGAGAATCACAGGGCATTGTCTCTCTGGGTGGGGGATCTTCCTGTACTGACCTTCAAGGATAGCTGAAGGGAGGGCAAATCAATGTGCTAGAGTAAAGGCCCTCTAATAGTTAAATACCTCAAGATTAGTTAAGTATGCCTTAGGGGATGCCAAGTATCTGTTGGATTCATTGGCAATAATGGTTGGAGACCTGACTAGGCCTGTGTCTGCTACACACTGTTTAATGAGTGTTTTGGCCTAATCATATCCCATGCTGAGTAGAAGACCTGGAGAGAAGCTCAAGGAATTCAGGGTCCCAAAACAAAGAAAGATAGTGTGATTCTCTCAAGCAGTTTTTTTTTAATTGTTCCTCACCTATGAACAGAATCTTGGCAAACCATCCTCATAAAGCATGTACTCTGGGAACTATTAGGGAGGAGTAGTCTTCACCCTCTTTCTCTCACACATTTAGTCTGAGAGTTCACATCTATCTGAACTGAGTTCTCTCTCCTCTGGAATACACTCCCTTCCTCCTGGGAATCCAGACTACATTCCATCACAAGGATGACGCTTTAGTTGTCATTGTCTTTTTCCATGTGGACTAAAATTTATCCTTCATAGTTAGTGGGGCAAAACAAAGGGAAAAAACGGGTAATCTAAACTCATAGTTAAACATGGTCACCCAAACTCTAGCGTCCACTTTCATGAGGCCTGTCTCTAGCCTTAGGGTGACACTGGAGACACATTTTAGGACTTGAAGGGCCAATCTTGGAAATTTGGCCTGAACAAGTTCCAATGGTACAAAATTGGAAAGGGGGCCAACCATAGAGAAGTCCTATTGGCTTGGTTTCAGAGAATTTGAGAGCTGCAGGAATGAGAGAAACTCTTGCCAGTCCTATTTAATATCTGCATAAAGCCTTTGGGTCAGGTCATCCATCTGCATGGGGTGCAGGATCATCAGTATGCTGGAGATATCAAGTTGTACATCTCTGCCCCGACCAAGTGATGCTCTCAAAGTGCTTTCCAATCCCTGGAGACTGTGATGATCTACCTAGGGGAGAACATGATTCAACTCTGCCAAGCTGAGTGGTTGTGATTTGGATATTTTTCCATCTCTAATTCTTCCTGGGGTGCACTTCTTCAGCTTGGGCATCAATTGTTCCCATTTCTAGATTGGAAGTCCTTGCTCATACCAATCGATGCCCTTAGTCATTTTTTTTACAGTTGGATTACTGCAAC